AAAAAAAAAAAAAGGAACAAGACTGAAAAAGGTAGACTACTACAGCTTTTGCAGCATTAAGAAATAAGAAATTTTATGTTAAATTTTTAAAATATTTAGACAAAACAGAAAAATTTCAAAACAATACAAATTATCCAAATCATCACAGAATGAGCCTAAAAAGGACTCTAACTACTAAAGACATTAAAACCATAATTTTTAAAAAGAACTTTTCCATAAAGAAAACTCCTGAAATTTTCTCCAGAAAATTCTACCCAATACTTGAAGAATTTGCTAATCTTACACAAGCTCATCCAAAATTAGAAAAGAGGAATCAGTTCACCATTATTTTATGAGGCATTACTTTGATTCCAAAACCCAACAAAAACAGTATAAGAAAGGAAATTCCCTGAAGAGTTTCACTCATGAATATAAATGCTAAAGTTTTAAACACTGTAATAAAGCAGTAAGAAGAATCATGACAAAGTTGGTTCTATTCTAAAACACAATGTTAGTTTAACATTTGAAAGGCAAACAAAATCAATCAATAGACTCTACAATATTAATAGGTAGGGGAGAGAAAACCATATGGTCATCTTAAGAAATAGAGCAAAAGCACTTGAGAAAACAACATTTGTTCATAATGAAAATATCAGTAAACTAGGAAAAGGAAACTTTTAATATGATAAAGAGCATTTTATAAAAAAATCTACAGCAAAGTTTAGTAAACAGTATAACTAGTGTTGAAATCCTGATATCAGAAAGAAGACAAGAATGCTCTTTATTATTTCACTAACAAATCCTCGATAGAGTAATAAAAAGAAGTATAAAAATCAAATGGGAAAATTGCCATTATATACAGACATGAATTTATAGATAGGAAATCCAAGAATATTTATAGATATAAGAATTATTGAGAATGTAACAAGCTCTTTGTATAAGAAGGCCAACACACAAAAGCCAACTGCATTTCTATACTCCACTGACATACAGCAGAAAATAAAAAATTTAAAGATACCACTTATAGTAAATGAAAAACCAAATATCAGTAAGTATAAGGCCTCTATAGAGAAAAACAATAAGCAGCAATGAGAAAAATTAAGAAAATCCAAATAAACATGATATGCCATGTATATGAACTGAAGATAAGAATGTAATGTAGCATTTCTCTTCAAACTGACCTATAAATTCAATGAATTTTAATCAAAACTCTACACATATTTTTATAATAATTGAAAGCTGTTTTCAAAATTTACACAATAATGTGAAGTGCTAAGGAATAGCCAATATCCTATGCAGGAACAGCAAGGTGGGTGTACTTATTTGTCTGGATGTCTAGACTTATTATAAATATAACAGAAAGGAAAAGACATAAATTTGACTGCATTAAAATTACTTTGTTCCTAGCCAGGCACAGTAGTGTGGGCCTGTAATCCCACACTCTGGGAGGTGGAGGCAAGCGCAGAAGGATCACAACTTTGAACTCAGCTCAGGCAACTTAGTGACTTTGCAAGACCCTGTCTCAAAATAAAAAATTTAAAAAGAGTTGAGGATATAGCTCACCAAAGGCCCTGGGTTCAATCCCTAGCACCAGTAGACACATACACACATACATACCCACGGGCACATGCATGCATGCACGCGCGCGCACACACACACACACACACTTTTCTGTTTCTAAAACAAAATCACTATTAAAACAGGAAAAAGGGAAGGAAAGTCACAACTTAAGGGACAGTATTTGAAATGCAAAAAGATCACATCCAGAACATACAGTGGATTCCTAGAAATTCATTTTTTAAAAATCCATTAGGAAACCAAGCAAGAGAGCTGAACAGGCAATCCATATTTTAAGTTAGATTATGTTACTAGATGTCATTTAAAAAGAAAAAAAACTAGAAAGCCTCAAAAGCTTCATTCACTTTAACAAAATTTCACAATGACAATACAGTGGATGTTAACAATGAATGCACAGATCATGCAGTCAATCCAGTTTTCAGGTACATACCATGATACTCCTAATCACACTTTTCTTTTTGAGCTTGTGCAAAATCATAACATTGGTTGTTTCACTTGCCCCAAACACAGATTTCCATTTTATATCCATACTTTACTGTTGGTTATTTATTCTTATACTACTATTTTATTTGTGTAACTATTTCCTCCATCACTACCTTTAAGTTTTAGTGAACCAAAAGAATCAGGGATTTGCAACATAACGGCAGCAAAATATCATCTTAAACATAAACATGCAAATGATAGGACAAACGTATTCTTTTAAATGACAGTTCTTGCAACATACAAAACATTGAAAAGGTATTCATTACAGAGTTTAACAACTATTATAAATCCTACAGTTGAAATCTGTGAAATGTTTTTAAAACACGTCATTGCCAGAAAATGTCACATTATTACAAATCAGAAGTTGTCTATAGACCTTGATGTGAGAAGCACTGATACACAGCACGGTTTGCCTGAATCTGATCTCAAAAAACAGGCTATATGGATAACATGCTCCAATCCCTGGCTACAGTCACCTCCACTACCTGTTATATTTTCCAGGGCTTGGTTCATTCCACAGCTTTACCAGCCCTCATAATTTGCTGGAGTGTTTATTAGAGAAAAGATTAGATCAGCTGTGTCAGAAGCTTCCTCTACTGCTCTGAGGGTCAAAAGCCTTGCCAAACTAAACAGAAGGAAAAAATCACTGAGCAGTAAATAACTACAAAAATTTTAATTTGTTTTTACATGCTATCCATACCACACTGAATCTCATTCAACTTTTCTGCTGCTTTATCCCTAAAGCTCATTTATCTACTCAGGTCTTTGTCTCCAGACTCCTGTTCTTGGACTTGTCAGCTGCAATGTGGTTCCCACCCTACAATGACCATGTGCCTGAGCTGCCAGATTGCCCTATGACCAATTCTAATACTTTCGAGACTTACCTCCTACAGAACAGGTGTTTCCCCAGAATCATTTTCCCACTTATCCCTTGCCTCATACAAGTTTCTCTAACTGCATAATTCAGTAGGTTGTGGGTAGTTATTTGGGAGTAACCTGTTAGTACTGAAAAGACCACACTGCTGAAGGACTTTCATTCTCTGCTAACAAAAACAGTGGTCACTCAAAATATCACTTTATTATAAAAGTCCAGTAAGGGTATATGCAAATTTCATAGTAATCTTCCTAGAAAATTTGAAAAAAAAATTTTTTTTGGTATCGGGGATCGAACTTAGGACCTTGTGCTTCCAAGGCAGGGGGTGGCACCACTGAGCTAAATCCCCGGCCCTGAACATTTTTTTAAGTGTTGTAGATAAGATTTTTACATTAAAATGTTGACTTCTATCAGTGAAAAAGCTCCATTACTGTAGTAAACTTAGACAAATTTTGGTCTTTAATCAAATCATTTAGGAGTTAGGTCCTCCAAAAACTTAGAAACAAAAACAAATTTTAAAATAGCAATTGCTAAAAACTTAATTCATTATCTTTCACTGAATGAAAGTGATGATATTTGGTTCATATAATTTTTAACAACTGAGATTTTAATCACAGGTAGAAATGTTAATAGTGTATGATACATAATATTATAGTGTACTGATAGGCAATTTAGTTATTATTATTCTCTGTTTGAAAAGTTCAAACTATTCCTCCCCTAAAAAAGAAAAGAAAAAGCTTTAAGAAATTTTCTTTGGAACTACCTAAATAATGTCATCAGAGATTTTATTTTGTTTATCTACTAATCAACACACATAACTCCATTCCTTTTATAATATACAAACTAGCCTTCTCTTTTTTTGGTGATAGATAAAAATATGCAAATTATCTACAGATAGTTCCATCTACCTTAATTATAACATGTGATAACAATGTTAAAGGAATTTATACAAAAGCTTTTACTTTGATAAAGTTGCTGCAATATTATAATGAATCTACTGGGGCTTCCAAAAGGGGAAAAAACAATATGAATTCAGTGTGGAAACATTTAAAAGCACAGCCAAATGTCCCCATTTGACCAAAATGTTTATGAATACCCATAAAATGAAATATGGCCTCAGATACTCTAAATTCCTCTTTAAAAGAGGCATTCAATACATTCCATAAAAATGAATTGTTTAATAAAGTCAAAACCAGGTTATATTTCTAATACAGGTCTAAAATTTAGGTAATTTTTTCAACTTTTGAAATTCAAAGAATATATCCTTCTATTCTATTCATTTATTAGCAGAACTGGGATTCAAACCCAGGGGTACTCTACTACTGAGCTATATCGTCAGCCGATTTTTAACTTTTATTTTGAGAAAGGGCCTTGCTAAATTGCCCAAATGGTACTCAAATTTATCATCCTCTTGCCTCAGCCTCCCTCAGTTCGGGGATTACAATTATGCACCACTACACCTAATACATTCTAGTATTCTTAAAAGCAAAGAATGTTAGAGAAAAAATGATTAATATATTCGACCAAGTGAAAATACTACAACAACACTCTTCTGAATCCTAATGACAGCTAGACAATAACACATTCGCTAACCATGGGAGAATTCCCTCTTTGGACATCTGGGTTCCTAGCAGTGGTTCATCTGTGACTATATCATATGTTTGTATTTCTACTAAAAGCTTACTCAAGTAGGCAGCCAACAAATGTACAGCAAATGGTTATTAAGGTCCTACTATTTACAAACCACTGTACTGAGTACTATGAAATAAGGAAATATGGAGATTAAAAAATAAAAAGAGAAGGCAAAACTTAGCTCATGAAAATTTAATCAATATGAGAAACTGTATTTGAATGTCAGAATGTCTGCAACATATATCTGCTGATTTTATTTGGATTATATGAAAGATAACATCCTTGGATTTGAATACAAAAAGTTTCTTTGACAAATGAATTATTTTTAAAATTAGGAACAAAAGTTTATATAAACTGGGTCTTATACGATTCTAATAAATTTTATTTTTTTAGACCTATAACTAAGCATCTAAGGCTGAAATGACACATGGTTAGAAATCAGCTTCAAAATATTTCAAAGAAGGAAGAGGGGGAAGGAAGAAAGGGAGGAAGAAAAAACTAACCCCTGAATCTAGGGTGGCAAAAATCTTAATTCTTGTGTTTGGGAAATGGGCAAATTGGGGTCCATTACACTATGCCCTCTCCATCTATAGATTTGATTGAAATTTTCATAGTAACAAATTAAAACCAAGATTTCATCAATGTTGTAGCGTGAATTGAAAAATGAAGCTGAATAGGTATGATTTTAAAACAAGGAAAACCTTTAGGTATTCTTCCTCATTCCTAGCTCCCACCTGCCTGCCAATATATTAGTAGGCATCCTTCAATTTTCCCAGCTATACAATTCAGCAATTAGATTTCTCAGCAGTTCTGAGTCCCTCCTTCCCCACTATGGTTAGCTAGCCAGCAAATTCATGCTCTTGGCTTTTTCCCATACATTCATCCTTCTAAATTGTTTCTAATTCCATTTTCCTCCAATGCTCAGTAGTTAATGGACTCTGGTTGCAAAATGTAACATGCATAGTTAAAAGATAGGCATTAAATGATAAACTGTGGTAAATAAACTGTGTGAACTCACAAGCCCTTCCAAAACTTATGTTGTCTAGTTTAACATGTCCATGACACTTGTACGTTTCCACCAAGTTGATAGGTGAAGCCTGGCAGGAATGAAATGTAAACATAGTTTCACTTTCTGCTGCTAAATTCTAATTTGTCTTTTCCCTCACATCTCTGTTCCAACCTGGCACTTGTAAAAGTTTTCAGTAGTTTTGGAAACTTCTAATATAGATGTTATAAATACCTGCATCACAAATTCTCGACGTCGAGGCATTCCTCTTTCTGAAAGTAAAACATAATCTGGCTCCTTTTCCTTTTTCGCCTGTTGAATTTGAGCCAGGCGGCTAATGGGGTTCATTCCTTGACCATATTCTGGTCCAGCCTAAAAAACAATTTAAGAAAATGTTTCAAAATACGTTTGTAAAGCTTATTACGGGATCCTTAAAGAAACAGCAGTTCTCCCCTCCACACTCACACAACCCAAAACTGTGACTAGAGAAGATAAATAAGAGTAAATTATGAAGATTTATAATTAAAAATCATAAAGTAAATGAAATATAAAAATTAAATTATAAGGGGTATGACAAAGGGGTTTGGGGAAAAGACTAATACAGGCACAACTGATAAGTCTAAGAATGAGAGTCCAATGAAAAGGTAAAGAGGACTTTGAGTATGGGACTAGAAGTATGCCTAGTGTATGAAGATGTTCAAATAAATAAATATGTAGTGGAATGTTGTTTTTATTCCTTTTTTTTAATGAATTTGTGACATTTTCTTTTTAAAATTTTTATCTTATTAGTACATGCTTGCAATTCACACTTTTTATAATCATCTTGGGGAGTGGTTACATGTATCTATCATATCTTGGTTTTGGTTTTTTTTAAAACTTGACTCTCATAAGAATGTCTTTAAATGCCAAAGAAATTATCATTGATAAAGATTTCAATGACAAAGAACCAGATATATAAATCAAATTTATGTAAGGATGAAATTCTGAGAGCACTAAGAATGCCTTGGTTTCTTTCTTTGACTAAAATTAACTATGAACACATGACAATTAAGTTATTCCTTGGATATGAAGTCTTACATTAGTAAGGACTGCCATAATTATAAAAGCTGTGTCTGGAAAATTTTATCTCCAACACTGGAAAGCCTTCTCTGAAGTTTCATCTTATAGAAAAGAATTATATTAAAGGACAGAATAAAACATAAAGACATTGCCAGGGAAATTTCACATGTTAACAGCATAACTCTACAGAATAAACTTAAAATCTAAAAGAAGTTCAGTTAACTAGTTTCAAATGGGCACTGCAGTCAAACACGGCTGGATCTGAAATCCGACTCTGCAATGAGATCTCAGTTAAGTTTCTGAAACACAATGCCCTATCTATAAAACGGGGATAGTAGCTCATACATCACAGAATGACAGGGGGATCATGAAACAATGTGATAGTTTTAATATTTTAAATAAAATCATGACAACTCATCACCAATGTTTCCTTCCTTCCTTCCTTCCTTTTTAAAATTTTGAAACAGTCTCCCTAAATTGCACAGGTTGACCTTCAATCTACGATCCTTCCCCCTCATTCTTCTGAGCTGGCCTCCAACCCACCATTCCCCTGCTTCATCCTTCTGAGTAACTGGGATTAGGAGTATGTGGCATTGTAACCAGCACAAATATTTTCTCTACTTCTACTGAACATAAAAAATTGTAGACCCTGGAAGTACCAGCCATACAAAGAAGAAAAATCAAGATACTATTCTAAATGGATCCATAAATTGGCACATTACAAGGTAAGATTATACTTAAATTTATAGATTCCAATGCATTATACACATGTTGCTTTCTCAAAATAACCTTAAATTTCACAGGATACCTATAGACTTTATTTTACATAAGACATATGCAAGTAATTCCAAGTGTGGTCCATATAAGGGTTTCAGACAAGGCTGCCCTGAAGAAGTCAAGTTTTAGGTAAGATCTGAATAATGGATAGTTTCAGAATAATATGCTTATATATTGGAAGCAGTGGCAAACTTTTTTTTTTCAGGGATCGAACTCAGGACCTTATGCTTACAAGGAAGGCATGGCACCACTGAGCTAAATCCCCAGCCCAGTAGCAAATCATTTTAATAATTCCTAACTGGGCAGGGTGGCACATGCCTGCAATACCAGTACTTGGAAGGCTGAGGCAGGAGGCTCACCATGAGTTTGAGACCAGCCTAGACTTCATAGTAAGTTCAAGGCCAGCCTGAACTACATAAAGAGACCCTGCCTCAAAAAACAAAGAACAAACAAAAGAATTCCTGATTCTTACCTCTACATTATATTAACAAAGATAAGAGTTAGAATTATATCCTACTATAGTACTATATATATAGATCATCTAGTTTAACTGCTTAGTATTCTTAATTTATTAAAATTAGATTTCATTTAATAAATTAAATGGAAATTACTGTGTCTAGTTTATACTGCCATTCTGATATAAAGCACTGTACTTCCATCATAGAAAAGCTATAGATTTTATATATTAACAAATTTAAGGAAATACATCATGGGTATATTCACGTACATACAAAGTACAAACACACAGTATTAGACACAAAATATCAAGTTACTATGCATTAATTATTACTTACATTATTTGTTCTGGTTTAGACTTAAAATGTCCCCCAAAAGTCTCATGTATTCAGAGGAAGGCCTTTCGGAAGGTGATGGATCATGGGGGTGCTATATTCATCAGAGGATCCATCCACTGATGAGTTCAGAGCTGAGTGTGCTACTAGGAGGTGGGGCTCGGTTGGAGGTGCATCCCTCACTGGTAGCGTGACTTGAAAGGGTGATTTCTTGTCCCTGGCTCCTCCCTTCTCTCCCTGCTTCCTGGCTGCTATGGGTTGAGCACCTTTTCCTCTGCCATGCCCCTCTGCAATCCTATTTCTGCCTTGGAGCCAGGCGACTGTGGACTGAAACCACGAGTTACAATAAACCTCTTCCTCCTTTAAGCTGCAGATGTTGGGTATTTTGTCTTGGCAACAGGAAAGTGACTAAGACATTAATAGTAATAATAAATAATAATAACTAAAGCATTTTGTGTGTTCAGTTAAGACAAAAATATCAGGAAGCAAGTACAGTTTATATTCCCACTTTATAAATGAAATGTACAATTAGCAAATTGTACAGTAATTTGCTCAGGTCATAGGGATTCACATTCAAAATTGACTCTGAAAGTCATGCTCTTCATAGCTATGTCCTATTCCCTGACTGCATGGCTAGAATACATACGAATGAATATCAGTCCTCTTTGGGACCACCAATGACCCATGACGAGTGGATCTACCTAGAATTTTTTTTTGTCTAACTTACATATAATATACCCTACTATTTCAAAAAATACAAAACCTGTTTGTTCTAAGTGAAGTAATGCCAGTATTCAAATATTTAATTATATACATATATATTTTTAAATAAAGCAAAGGTACAAAACCTATAAAAACATCTAAGTAATGCAATTGCACAATCTAAACAAAAGAAGTTTGTCAAGGATTAAATATAACTATTTGTAATTCTTGATTTGTAGCCCCCTAATCATAAGTCTGCTAAACAAGTGAGGCTGAGCTGCTAATGGAAAAGCTAACAATTTAAACCTTTCTATAGAAACAGAGGATGATAACTCCATTCATGTCATCCATACTAAGCACTCACGGCCACTGTTTTGTACTAAATATTAACTCATTCATGCCTTTGACTTTTGTCCTTTTTTCTCTCCTTTTTTTGTTTATGTTTTTTTGTTTTTTTCTTTTTTGGTACTGGGGATGGAACTCGGGACTTTGAGCTTGTGAGGCAGGTGACAGAACCACTGAGCTAAATCCCTGGTCCTTTTCTCTCCTTTTTAATGTAAATAAAATGTGATCCAATAGTCACATCACCTTGAAAAGTCACAAAATCTTCAAAAGCTGTGTGTTCTATATTCTTTGGCAAAGTATACATGCCTGAATGAATAGAAACAATACCATGGACCTCACAGGGCTGCTATGAGGAGTAAATGTGGTAAAGGACACAAAGTACTGGGACAAAGTCCAGCACATAGAGTGCCTTATAATTTCTACCTGCTGCTGCTGTCCCTGTTGTATTATTCATGATTATTACTCTGTATCCTGTTACCAATTCATGATATCCTAAGAAGTTACTATGCAGCAGTGTTGTAGCCCAAGGAACACTGGATTAGAGATCAGAGCAATTCAGGCTATTCGACACCATAGCCGAATATAAGTGAGTGAATTCTTTGAACATGTTTTGTAAAATCTTATTTGTAAAAAAAGGAATATTATCTATCTTACACAATCATATAGAGGATTTTACTGAAAGACATGAATAGGAAAATACATTTTTAACCACAGAAAACTATACATATCTAAGGTATTATTGTTATATGGACAAATGTAGATACATGGGTGTTTAAACAGCAAAAAATAAATGTCATTAATTTAGACTCCTGTGTCCTACCCTGATTCATGGTCTGGGTATAATATACAGGTTCAAGAGCTATCCTTAAGGAAATCTTTTATGTGTAGCAACTCACAGTAAAACTGGCTGTTCACAGTATATACTGACCTTTACTATTGTTTTAGGACGTTTTTTAAAAAATAGTTTTGGCTTTTCCACCACAGGAAGAGGTGGAAGTTTTTTAAGCTCTTGTAAAACAATGGTTGCAGCACGCTTCTTGGAGAGCTTTTTGCTATTTCCCTCTCCTTCTGCAGAGAACTCTCCCACTGACACCCGAGTGACAAAGCTCTTCATGTGTGGTGGTCCACTCTCTTTGATAACCTGTTAAATACAAGTAAAATATTAAGAAACATGCAGACACCCAAGACATGTTCATATAGCATCAATCTTTCTTACTATTCTTATCATCAAAATTGATACTGAGAATTATGCAAAGATAGTAGCATTTCTATAAGAAAGCTATAAAAGTATATAAGAAGTTCATAAAATCTTTTGCTACACCGATGTCTTCAAGAGTTCTACCTAACCTCTGTTCCAACTGGTTCAGAGTTTCTATTTTAATATTTAGATCTTTAATCCACTTCGATTT